TGATACTGCCTCGGAAACCCAAGGAGGGGTCGCTATGAGTCGGGTCCGACTCGACGGCACACAACAACAACATTATTATTATTATTATTATTATTTTTAAGCTTGTTGGGTTTTTGTTGCAAATAAAGGTCATCCCCAGGCAGGAAAAATTAATTTATATAGCATAGAAAATTTAGTAATGAACTTAAATACAGAAACAAAATTTTAACTTTATAACATCTAGGTAATACAGTTAACAAGGAATCTGATATACTAATTCTTTTCCTAGTCTCATCTAAAAAATCTGGAAATACTTTAATTTTTGAAATAAATACAACAGTTATTTATCAAATCCTTTGTGAAATATTCTGTGCTATGATATAAAAGACGAGTGAACAAAGTTTTTGTTTTCAAGGACTCATAAACATAGTGTGGACAAGAAAGCAACACAAACCACCACCAAAAATAAAATACTGATGTCAAATTTTGCTCTTTTCTTGTTGCTTTTCCCCTTTCTACCTGTGAAGCTTGTGATTGTGCCCATCTGGGTAACAATTGTGACCCAAAGACTGGTCGATGCATTTGCCCTCCCAATACCATTGGAGAGAAATGTTCTAAATGTGCACCCTATACCTGGGGCTACAGCATTGTCAGTGGTTGTAAGGTAAGTGAATCACTGCCTTCTGATAATATTTTAAAGTTCTCTTTTGGTAGAGTACTACAGGTGGGCATTTCAAAATGCAAAATTATATTTACAGCACTATATAAAGCATTGTTGTCATCGTAGGTGCCCTTAAGTTGGAACCGACTCAGAGCGACCCCTCCTTGGGTTTCTGAAGTGATATCAGTACGGAAGTAGATTGCCCAACCAGCCTTCCGAGGAGTGGCAGCTGGGTTTGAACCACCAGTCTTCTGGTTAGCAGTCAAGTGCCTCAGGCACTAAGCACCAGAGCTCCCATAAAGCATTGACTACAATGTAATTGTAGTAGAGTTATTCCTAGCTTTCTATGAGATGTAGGAAGTTTTGAGTTTTCCAGTGTTTTTTTCCCCAACTTGCTGGGCTTTCATCTCACCTAATCACACAGCCAAAAAAGGGAATCTATCTGCAGAGCTTGAGTTCTGTTCGTGCGCAACACCCTCGTTTTTTAACACAAATTCTGTTCGCCCTATACATTCAAGCTGTCTCAGTCTCTACAAGCTTCACTCTGTCTCTCCAATCAGCAATCGTGTTAGGTTTTGTTTGAGTTTCTCCTCTCGGGATTATAGCCTAGAAACTGCCTCCAATTGGCTACCTCATTTGTTTTCCTTCCGTCAAAAATCAGTGCCTATTGCACTTGACTGCTAACCAGAAGGCTGGTGTTTCAAACCCACCAGCCACTTCTCAGAAGAAGGGTTGGACATTCTACCTCCGTGGTGATGCGGCCTCAGAAACCCAAGGAGGAATCGCTATGATTTGGATCCCACCCTAGGGCAGCGAGGTTTTTTTTGTTTTTTTGTTTTTTTGGTGGTTTTTGATGTCCAATGTCTGAATACTGTTGTTCTTTTTAAAACTATTGTTTTATCTATAATTACTTGGTTTGCATTTCTTGATGGCTGGCAAGATATTATTCTAGCAGCTAATTCTTCATTGACAGAAAAGAAAAACATAACTTTTCAACATCCTAACTCTAGGCCATCTCTGGGATACTTGCTTAGCATTAATTTGAAATGTGGAAGAAAAATTCAGTAAAGATGTTTATGTTAGAAATTTATATGGATTGATCACATGTAAGCAATTAGAATCCTGGGGGAATGTATAAAGTGAAAAGAAAAGAGGGTAAAAATAGAGCACTTAAAAGATGGCCAGGGAAGGAAGACCCTTCTCGGAAACCTGAGAAGGAGCGACTTAACAGAGAGCAGGGAAACAGGGTAAGGTTTGCAAAATCTAAGAAGAGGATGTTGAAGGGAAGGAATGTGTTTCAGTGCCAAGTGCAGCAGAGAAGAATGATATGATTAAGACTTAACTGGGCCCATTAAATTTACAATATTTTAAAAAATCAAGGCATTGGGGAAGTGAGAGTCAGTCACCTCCAGTGATCACATTTAGTTGAGGAGTATTGGAACGTGATGACCAAGTATAGCCTGTTTGACTGCATGGTAATGCTCTTTAGAGATCGACACTACTGTTTTGTTTTGCTTTGTTTTGTTTTTCTACTTAGTGTACATGAAATAGTAAAATCCAACCTTTTCTACATATATGATAAAATGTCTGAGTACACTGGTCTAGAAACAACCGCAGAGAAAAAGAATACAGCTGATAGTGCAAGCAAGTTCAGATATTTGACTAATTACACTTGTGATTGGAGAAAATAAAAACTAGAAAGGACACTAATTTTTCTGTTACCAAGGACAGTAAGGATCTTGAATTCCACACAGCTCTGGCAGCATAGTGCCTAAGGCACTTGACTGCTAACCAGAAAGCTGGCGGTTCAAACCCACCAGCCACTCCTCGGAAGGAAGGTTGGGGAAGGAAGGTTGGGCATTCCTACTTTCGTAGTGATACTGCCTCAGAAACCCAAGGAGGGGTCTCTATGAGTCGGGGCCGACTAGATGGCAAACAACAACAACAACATATTTTTTAAAACAAGCAAAATCTCAAGAAATTCAGGGGTTTTTTTTAGTTTAAAAATGCCATAAGTTTCTATAATTAACTTTTTGTATTTCCAATTTTGAATCCAAACATCTTTCATATTAATTTGACTCATGAACGAACATAAAGGAATTTATGAGATTTCCATCCTGTATTCAAAATCCTAGTGATATGCTCAACACTAATGACCTCCTAAAAATGAATCCTGTGCCTAATGTTCATGATATAAATTCCAAAAATTTATAAATACCAAAACTTTATAAATTCCAAATTCCCAAATTCAAAGAAACAAAAATCCTAGTGATATATTTGATGTCATTATTTTTGCTGATCATTAAATAAACATTTATATCAATTGAAGTTGATTAAAATGTCTGGGATTACTTTAAACTACTGTTGAATAGCTAGATATTGTGAACAATAAAAAAGTTGTAAGTATTTATAAGCATGTACTCTGTTTATAAAAATGTGGGTGACTATAATCTAAAGGAACAGTAATTTGAGATTTATAGCTCCTCTCTTTGTGTCATGGATAATTTCTCTGTGCTGCACTGTGAGCACACACAGCATTTGAGCTTTCTCTGAGGAGTACTGAGGTAGAATACAAAGACTGCCTTCCTTCACTAGCAGGGAAATAGTGCATAAATTCTCTATTGCTAAGAAAACACTACATCTAATTATGATTTAAGTTTTTATGTTGAGTATAGTGCTATCTAAACATATGGTTAATGGTCTCATTTACCTTTCACTATGTCTTCCTGAATACACTTCCTGATTTGGAAAAGTCCCAATGTCTAATTAGTGCTATTTTTTTAATACAGTAAATTGTTTAGCAGACATTGCAAATTTTAGTTATTTAATGATGCCTCACAAGACTGTTTGTATTTATTATATGATTATAGTTTCCATAACATATCATAATTTTCTGTTTCTGATTATGGTCCATTTTGTTCAAATGAGTCAATTCATAGTCAAAAGGATTGGTAAGGAAAGATTATTTAAGTGAGTCAATCATTCTAGTTTTGAAATCTTACTCTATATCTGATGTACTAGAAAGATAAGTTATTTGGGAGATAGCAATGAGTTATTCTACACCTTAAAGGTTATGTCAATTTTCATAGTATAATAAATAATATGTTTTTTAATTTTGAGTTTAAAATAATTTCTAGCTAGCAATTCATACTTCAATCTTTTTTACTGGATATCAATGAAGACATAAAGAATAAAACAACTGAAAAGATAAAAAATAATATCTGACAATTGTTTCAATGTCAGAATATACTTTCACCAAATATTTGGGTAGGAAAGAGAAGATAGAAGAGAAAGATGTAGTTGTACAGCACATCCTAGAAAGAGTAGTTCCTTCCATTACTAAGCTACTGTTGTCAGTGACTATACATGTGGACCTCACCAGATGTAATACACAGGAATCAAGTTGATTATATCTGTGGAAGGAGACAATGAAGAAGCTCAATATGCACTGAAGGCATTGGTGAAAACCAATTTTCCAAGAATTTCTGGACTGCTAACTGATTGTTTCAACAAGCAAATGTGGTGGTGGGAATGCTCACACCTCTATGACAGAAAATTTGGAAGAGAGTTACCTGGACAACCATTGAGAAGAGATCACATTTTTGCCCATTCCAAAGAAAGGTGATCCAACAGACTGCAGATATCAACAATCATTAATATTACACACAAATGGAATTTTATTGAAGATAATTCAAAACTGGTTGCAGCAGTACATCTACAGAGAACTGCCAGGAATTCAAGGCAGATTCAGGAGAGAACAGAACATGGAACAAGAGATATCATTGCTGAAGTCAGATGGATTATGATTGAAAGCAGAGAATACCAGAAAGATATAT